GTATGCTTTATAGCAATTTCAAATCTCGACCCAGCCCAACTCAATCAAATATAAATCTCTGTACTAAAGACCTAACAAGAGGGAAAATGTGTTAAATTTCAAGCATAAAATCTATTTATCTCAGTCTCTATGGTCTTACACAAGATATCCAGTTTTCAGCCCCAAAGTTACAAGACTTAAACAAAAAGACATAAAGACTTAAAGAGAGGAAGAAAAGAAATTTTGAGCGATGAAGCAATTGTCATTACCAGACTTAAATATGACATGGATGTTGCAATTATCTGACAGAGAATTTAAAATAACTATGATTAGCATATTGAAAGCTCTAATAGAAAATGTGTGCAATGTGAGTGATCAGGTGAGTAACTTCAGCAGAGAGATGAAAACTATAAGAAAATCAAATGAAAATATTAGAAATGAAATATAATGAGAGAAATAAAGAATGCTTTTGATGGGCTCATCAGTAGATTCAACTATGTCAAGAAAGCTCCAGTAAACTCTAAGATAAATCTATAGAAATTAGAAAATTTGAAACATCAGAGAGAAAAAGAGTGAGAAAAAAAGATAGAACAAAATATCCAAGAGCTATACGGAAATAAAAAATGCTTAGAGAAGCATTATCAGAATCCCAGAGAAAGAAGAGAGAACAAAGAAGGAGAAATATTTCAAGACATAATGGTCAAGAATTTTGAGATGGTTGGGCATTGATGAAGGAGGGCATTCAGAGCCATGGAACATGCACAGGAAGGGGCTTGTGGTAAAGTGGAGAATGCAAAGGCCAAGTGGGACTCAGCGTGGGAGCCTCATGTGAGCACATTGGGGCTGCCTGCCACAGGTCCTTCTGCACTTCAATCTCAGGTGACACTGGGGCCTCCTCTAGGGTTCTTCTAGGGCCTCTGGTACAATGCTGTGTGGAAGTGGCAAAAGCTGACATCTCTGCCTTGTTTTCAATCTTGGGGGGAATATTCAGATGTTTACCATTAATTACAATGTTGGATTTAAGTTCCCTTGGCAATATTTTATTTATCAGGTTGAGGAAGTCCTCTTTAATTCTTAGCTGACCGATAGGTTTTAAAAAGTTATAAATGGTTATTGAATTTCTCAAAAGTAATTTTTTTCATCTCTTGAGTCAGTCATATGGGGTTAAAAAAATTCTATTAATATGGTGAAATGCATCTATTGATTTTTGAGTGTTGAACCAACCTTGCATTTTTAGAATAAATGCCTATTGTTCAGGATCTATTATTATTTTTGTACATTAGTAGATTCTATTTGGTAATATTTTAAAAAGATTTTTAGTTATGCTCATGGAAGATATTGATGTAAAGTTTTCTTGTTTTACAATGTCTTTCTCAGATGTTTATATTGATATTGTTTCTACTCTTATAACATGAGTTGGAAAAAATGTCTTCCTCTTCTATTTTGTGAAGTTTGTGTGAATTTTTCATTAAATCCTTGACAGAATTCAACAGTGAAATCAGGTGGGTGGGCCTGGAGCTTTCTTTGTGAGAAGGTTTTTGATTACAATTTTTCTTTAACAGGTGTGTGGCAATACAGATTTTCTATTTCCCATTGTGTCATTTTTATAATTTGGTTTTTCCTAAATAATTTATCTGTTTTTAAATTTGTTGGCAAAATGTTTCAAATTTGTTGGCAAAAAGGTCCTTATAGTATTCTATTATTATTATTAATTATTATTTATTTGGCTTTATTGAGGCATAATTGACAAATAAAAGTTATGTATACTTAAGTTGTACAAATATATTTTGATATATGTATGCATTGTGAAATAATTAGCATAATAAAGCTAATCAACAGATCGATCACCTCACATACATTTTCTGTGTATGTTGTAAGAACATTTAAGATGTACACTCTTAGAAAATTTAAAGCATTCAATGCAGTATTGTTAACTATATTCACCATGCTGTACATTAGATCTTATTTTGCTTAAATGAGATGTTGTACCCTTGACCAACATCACTCCATTTCCCCCACCATCTAGTCCCTGGCAATCAAAATTCTATTCTCTGCTTCTGTCAGCTTGACTATTTTAATATCGGTGTCATCTGTCACTCTATTCCCTCTTTCATGTCTGATAGGGGCAATTTGTGTTTTATGTTTTTTTTAATTAGTCTAGCTAGGTGTTTATCAGTTTTATCAATCTTTCAAAACAGCTAATTTTGGCTTAATTTTCTCAAATATGTATTTTACTTTCTAATTCTTTGAATTCTACTTTTATCTTAATTTATAGTTTTTATTTCTGTGCTGAGATTTTTGTCTCTTTATTAATTGCATGGATCCTTTCCTTTATGTCCTTAAGCACATTTATAATAGTTGCTTTGAAACACCTCTCAGCAATTCTCATACCTAGGTCATTTTCGTGTTAATTTCCATTGAATCCTCAGGCTCGGGACATTTTAGAATGTATTTTAGAATGTATCCTGGATATATGAATATTACACTGTGGTTTTAGGATTCTGTAATGTTCTTCCAAAGAGTGTTGATGTTTTTGTTTTATTGGGCAATGAACTTGTATGAGATCAAACTGAATATATCTCTTGTGTGGAAGCTCAAATCTCACTTAAGTTCTTTCACATATAATTGAGCTATATGACTGAGCTATTTATAATTGTTGTCATATATTCTGCTTTAGGGTTCAGCCAGAAACTTGCATAGAGTACATACACAGAATTTGAGGCCCTTCTCTTTGCTTATCTCCTTTCTTGGATTTTATCCTCATTCTCCAATATCTGTGGTTCTCTCGCATGCTGTCCTTTGGTTCTTTATGCAAGAGAGGCTAGAGGATTTTCATTAGAATATTTGATGTCCTGTGTGGCACTGACTTTGGCCTTTACTCAGGCTAGAATTTGTCAAGATGAAAACTCATCACACCATCTCTTCTTCCAGGTGTTGGCTCCCCTTCAGTATCTGCCCAGATTTTTGTATCTCTCAGATTTTTCAGGTCATTGTGTATTTATTTTGTGCAGTTTCCTGTTGTTGTTGAGTGAGAAATTTGGGTCCTCTAGATGCTTAATTTCTGATGCTGGAAGTGGAACTGCCTCATTCAAAGAATTATTTTACTTCAGATATTGTATGTTTTCCATTCTATGAGTTCCATTTGTTTTTAGAATTTTCTTACCTATTCTGAAATTATCCATCACTTCATTTATTATATACATCATTCTCAATAGATTCTTAAATATATTCATAATTGTTATTTTGTAGTATTTGTCTGCCAACTCCAGTATCCTCATTGTGTGCTCTTTCTATTGATTATGCTCTTCCTTGGTTACGGGACACATTTTTTTCTGCTTTTTCATACCTAGTAATTTTGATTATGCATTGAGCATTGTGGATAGTATATTGTAGAAAGTCTGGATTCCTTTATTATATTTCTCTAAGGAGTGTTGAATTTTGTTTTAGCAGGCAATTAGATTACTAGAAAATCATTTGGATTCTGTTGAATCATGGTACTATGCTTACTAAAGATGGGTTTATTTTAGTTATTCTCTTTGACCTGGGAATAACCCTTTAACTTAGAGCATAGCCCTTAATCCTTCAGAATGGTCTTTTAAGAGTTTAAATAAAAAGTCTGAAGTGTTTATGAAACTTGTCTAACTTGGGAGAAATTTGAACTCTAAACTTGTTCTCATTAGGACTTCCCAGGACCACTGCTGAAATACTAGCCTAGCACTTTTGGAACACAGATTGTTCTCTCAATTGCCGCTGAGCTCTTTGTAATCATGCCTGCACATGCAGAGTTAGGCTCAGCCAAGTGTTCTAAAGTTTGCAGATTTGAATCTTTCCCCTCTGTGACTTGTTCTTCCAGGATTTCTTTCTCAATATTCTGGCATTATGGCAGCCCAAATCTCTGAACTTAGACTTCCCAGCCCAAGATTATGATTCTCTCCTGGTGCTCTACTTCCCAAGGACCTCACTTACTGGGGAGTAGCTTCAAGAAAATATGTGAATAAATGTGGTTTCACCTATTATGCTACTCTTATTTCCAGAATTTAATTTCTTCCTGTATCTGCCTGCTTTCCTTTCCCTTCTAGTGTCTTCAAATGTTATTTCTAATTGTTAATGTGAGGAAAGATAAAATGCTATAAGTAACTCTAATATCACCATAAGCTAGAAATATATATACAATTTTGTATCTTACTTTTTTACTTACTATTTTCAATTTATTAAAGCATTTTCCACAAACATCTTTAATGACTTAAGAATGCCCCAGAGTATGAATGAATATGTCATAATTTATTTGGATATTCTCCTATCTCAGAGAGCCATACACTTGGATGTTAAATAGAGAGCTGCAATCAACACTTCTGCATAAAGTTTTTGTAAATTTTTCTAGTTTGGGAGAGATTTCCAGGGGTGAGATTAACATAGATTGTTAAGCCTTCTTTGAATTATTTCTTCTACCTTTTAAAAATAACTAATTTGTCACTTTATGTATAATATTGATGGATTTCTAGGTGTTGTTATCAGTGGATTCCTTTAACAATGTGATATAGCACAAGTTCTCAGAGGTTATATGACAAATTAGAAGTCAAAGTTTTTAGTTACTTTATAAAAAATTTCAAATTAACTTTGGTTTCCTTGCATATATTAACATATATTGGGTTTCCTAAACATATTAACACATTGAAACAGAATGAAAGAATGTCATTTTTTCCCTTTTTTTCTGTGGAAGAATAATTTATTATTTTAGAGAAATACAATAGAGTTTCTTGTAGTTTTAAAAAATTTCCTATTTTTAAATTTAGAGACAGTCTCTGAGTGTGACAGGAGATAGATTCACTATTTATAAAAACGATAGCAAAATCTATGTGTCTAGACAAAGGCTTATTTTATCACAAATTTATTTGCACCTTGTCTGAGATATGGTAATCAAATGATAGTTCTAATTTCTTTGATTTATATTATAATTATATTTTCAAATGACATTATTTCCTATTCTCATTAAAATCTTTTTATTTGGTTTTTTCTTTAAGCGAAAAGAAGATAATATTCGTTCCTTAACTATGCTCGATCATTTTGGTTTTGAATGTTTGCCTCATCAATTGGTGAACAAATCTATTCAACAAGGATTCTCTTTTAATATTCTCTGTGTGGGTAAGTGCCAAATGCCTCATCTCAATTATTCCTTAATTTTCCCAAATGCTCACTTCAACTTATCTTAAACAGCATAACACTGGTGCTGTTAATTCAAGACCATGTATTTATATTAGTATGGGGTTTTGTCTTCCTAGTCATATTACTTACACTTTTTTCTTTAAATTTTTCAGCACTCTTCAAAATCTGATGTGCCTTTGTGTCTATTTTCTTTCTATATTATGTTAATGACTGACGGAGTCAGGAGTAGCATGTATACCTTCAAGGACATCCCAATCTTTGAAGTATTTGGGACACTTTAAACCACTCTTGGGGCTCACAGTGTTACTTCTCAGCCATCTTATGTCCCTAAATGATGTATCTATGTTTGTTACAGGGGAAACTGGAATTGGAAAATCAACACTGATTGACACATTGTTTAATACTAATTTGAAAGACAAAAAATCCTCACATTTTTACTCAAATGTTGGACTCAAAATTCAGACATATAAACTTCAGGAAAACAATGTTCAGTTGAAATTAACTGTTGTGAATACAGTGGGATATGGTGATCAAATAAACAAAGAAGCCAGGTTAGTGTTTTCTTATTTTAAATTAAAAGGTTTTTTTTTATTTCAAAGAATTTATTTTCTTTCTCCATGGACTAGATTGTAATATTCTTCTAAGACAATTGAAATCTTTAATCCTAGATTTTAATTCTTTCCTAATTAAATAATGTTTTCTTATTATGAAATTGATATTTTTGTATCCAGTTGTCTCGTTTCCTTACAAGATTTTTGTATTAACCAATTATAGCAAAAATTTGTTGATGTAGTTTCTATTAGTTTTAGCTTATTTTCTTATTTCTTATATGATATTATGAGGACTTTTTAAGTTCCTGTATCAGATTTAAACTTCTTGTATAAGAGGGAAATAAATTGTGACTTAGCAATAGCTTTAGAGTCTTACTCCTTTTTGAAATGGATGCATATTCATTATTCTGTGTTACTCTTCTAGTGAGGTAAAGTTAGCTTTAGAGTGAAAATATTTTTCATGTGTTGACTGTTTTGTGTGATTTATGTTAGTTAGATGCAGAGGTGTGCTAAAGCTGGTTCGTACAAGCTTGTGAGAGCAGATTGTACTCATCTCTTCTCAATTCTACATTCAATGACATCATTTGGGTAGCTTGAAATCAGCCAAGGTGGGAGTATTCACACCATAGAAATCAGCAAGTTTTACAAATGAGTTTGTTTTTTTCCTTCCAAAGAGCCATATTTTAAACATTTACCAGCTCGCCACTGGTTAAAGAAGTCTTTTAAATAAATACTCAACTTCTAACTTAAATATGAAAATGATTTATGTGAAACTCATGAAAAGAATAGACAGTAGAAAAGGGGCTGTGTCAAAGATATATGATACATTGCTTTAAATAGTTCTTAATATTTAAAAAGTAAATATTACCATAGTATCAATAGTCAGTACTTCTGAAAGTATATTTTTAAATATAAGATTAAGCCTATGGTCAATATACTTAATGTATTGTAAGCATTTCATTGTATGGTGGAATAAGATCCACAAGAGTTAGTGCATCCTATATTAATTTCATGAGTCTGCCATAACAAATTACCATAAACTGGGTGGCATAAAACAACAGAAACTTATTCTCTCACAGTTCTGGAGGCTAGAAGTCCAAAATCAAGGTGTTGGTAGGGCCAAACTCCCTCTAGAGGCTGTAGGGAAGAATGCTTCTTCACTGTATCCAACTTCTATTAGCTGTTGGCATTCACTCTGGCTATATCCCTCCAATCTGTGCCTCCACCTCTACCTTCTCCTTTGCCCTCCATGTTCCTTTAAGAACATTTATAGTTGGATTTAAGGTGTACTCAAACAATCCAGGATGAACTCACGTTGAGTTTCTTAACATAATTATATCTACAAAGTTTTGTTTCAAATAAGATTATACTTACTAGTTCCAGGGGTTAGAATGCAGACATATCCCTTTGGAGATCACCGTTCAACCCACTAGTCCTCTTTTATATAATAGGGTTGTTTCTTAAATGTTTTTAAATTGATTTTTCTCATTTTTTTACTTGTTGTATTGCTTGTTTTCTATCAATTATCCAAATCATAAATGAATATATTTCTGTAAAAAATTTAAATAATCCAGATGAAATGAAAACCCACTGGGCCAACCTTAAGCACTTTGCTTCATTTCTTTTTGCTAAATAATCACTATTATGAGTTTAGTAAGTTTCCTCTTAGACCTTATGTTATGAGGTTATTGAATTTTTGTAGCAATTGAAATACTTTTAAAATAATGCAGAGTAAATTTATTTAACATATATCAATTATAATATAAAAATGCCTAAAACATTTATGGACAGGTTAATAGATGATTCTGAAACAAAAATCCTTTGTAAAGCACCTTTCTATTTAAGTTATGACATGCTCCTCATGGGTCTCAGGCATTTTCATTTTTCGATCACAACCCGTAGTCAATCTCATGGAAGCAGAGAGTAAAATGTCAGTTGTCGGTTGGTTGCAGGGAAGGAGAAATCAGGAGTTTCTGTTCAATGGGTATAAAGTTTCCATTATGCAAGATGAATAAATTCTAGAGATCTTCTATACAACATAGTAACTATATTTAACAGTACTTTATTGCACACTTAAAAATTTGCTATGAGAATAGACCTCATGTTAAGTATTCTTATCTCAATTTTAAAAAAACTATAGGATGCTGAAAAAGTGTTGTTGAGAGGGAAACTTATAGCATGATATCCTCATGTTAGAAAAAAAATCTGTCAGTAATGTAAGTTTTCATTTAAAAAAAAACTAGACAAATAGGAACAAATTAACCCTAAATAAAGGAAAAGATAAGAAAGATTATAGTAGAGCAGAAATTGATGAAAATAGAAAAAGGTCAGAAAATCAATAAAACCCAAAGCCTGTTCTTCAAAAAAAATCGATAAAATTGAAAACTTCTAGCCAGACTGAGCAAGCAAAAGAAATGAGAAGTAAACACCACCAATATCAAGAATAAAAGAGGAGATATCATTACTACTCTTACAAATATTAAAAGAAGAAGAGTACTACAAACAATTCAATGCCCACAAATTCAATAATTTAGATATTAGCTGTGGGCTTTTCATGTATGACCTTTATTGTGTTGATATAAATTCCTTCTGTACCTAATTTTGAGAGGTGTTTTTTTTTTTTTTTTTGTCATGAAGGGGTGTTGAATTTTGTGAAACACTTTTCCTGCAACTATGGAGACGGTCTTGTGATTTTATTCTTTAGTCTGTTAATGTTGTGTACCACATTAATTGATTTGCTTATGTTGAATTATCCTTGCATTCCGGGGATAAATCCTACTGGTCATGGGGTATGATCCTTTTGATGTTCTGTTGAATTCAATTTGCTAGTATTTTGCTGAAGATACTTGCATGTGTGTTCGTCAGGGATACTGGCCTGTAGTTTTATTTTTTGTTTGTGTGTGGTATCTTTGTCTCACTCTGTTTTCAGGGCAATTCTAACCGTTTAAAATGATTTTGCAAAAGTTCCTGTTTCTTAAATTTTTTGGAAGAGTTTAAGAGGTATTGGCGTTAATTCCTTTCCAAATGTTTGTTAGAATTCAGTACTGAAGACATCTGGTCCTGGGTTTTTCTTTCTTGGGAAATTTTTGATTGCTGATTCAATCACCTTATTTATTATTAGTGTACTCTGATTTTCTATTTTTTTGTGAGTCAGTCTTGGTAGATTGTATGTTTGTAGGAATTTCTTTCTTTCTTGTAGATTATCTAGTTTGTTGGCATATAAATGTTTATATTCATCTCGTGTGGTTCTTTTTATTTTTTGTGGCATCAGTTTTAATTTTTCCTCCTTCATTTATAATTTTATTTATTTGAGTAATCTTTTTCTTCATCTAGCTAAGGGTTTGCCAATTTTATTTATCTTTTCAGAAAAGAATTTAGTTTTATTGCTATTTTCTACTACTATTTCATTTATATTTGCTCTAATCTTTATTTCTTTCCTTCTCTAACTTTCGGTTTAGTTTACTCTTCTTTTTCTAGTTCCTTGAGGTTTAAAGTTAGGATATTAAATTGAGATATTTCTTGTTTTTAAATGTAGGCGTTTATCACTGTAAAATTCCCTCTACTGCTTTTGCTCTTCCAAGAAGTTTTGGTATGTTGTTATTTTTTGCTTGTGTCAAGATATTTTGTAATTTGTTTTGATTGTTTCTTTGACCCGATGTTTGTTCGTAAGCGTGTTTTTAAATCTCTCCACATTTGTGAATTTTCTATTTTTCCTTTTGTTATTGACTTCTAGTTTCATTTTATTGCAGTCAGAAATGATACTTGGTATAATTTCAGTCTTCTTAAATTTGTTAAGCCTTGTTTGTGAGCTCACATATGATCCATCCTGGAGAATGTTATGTGTGCTCTTGAGAAGAACGTGTATTCTGCTGCTGTTGGGTCCAATGTTCTGTATATATCTATTAGGTGCATTTGTTCTGTTGTGTTGCTCAGTTTTGCTCTTTCCTTATTGATTTTCTGTCTGGATATTCTATCAATTGTTGAAAGTGGGATATTGAAGTCTCTTACTGTTACTGTGTGTTATTCTCTTTAGTTCTGTGAATGTTTGCTTTTTATATTTAAGTACTCTAATGTTGATTTCATATATATTTATAATTGTTATACCTTCCTGATGAGTTGATCCTTTCACCTTTATAAAATAGCCTTCTTTGTCTCTTCTGACAACTTTTAACTTAATTTCTATTTTAACTGATAGAAGTAGAGTCACCCCTACATTCTTGTTGTTACCATTTTCAAGGAATAGCTTTTTTCATCCTTTCACTTCCAGCCTATGAGTGTCTTGATTCTAAAGTGGGTATATTGTAGAGCATGTAGTTGGATTTTGTTTTTTTATCCATTTGGGCACCTTATGTCTTTTGATTGGAGAGTTTAATCTGTTTAACTGATTATTATATATTACTTTATTAAAAATAATTATATATAATATATACTAGTAATTATTATATACTCTATAATATGTAATACATATAAATAATTATTGATAGGGAATGACTTACTATTGTTATTTTGTTAAATGTTTTCTGTCTATCTTGTCATTCTGTTGTTCCTCTTTTCCTCTCCGTTTTTAAGTTTCTTTGTATTTTGTTGACTTTTTGTAATGATGTATTTTGATTCCTTTCTCTTTTTTTGTGTGGGTATCTTCTACAGGTATTTTCTTTGTGATTACCATGAGGGTATCTAAAACATCTTATAGTTATAACAGTCTAGTCTAAGCCTATAACAAAATAGTTTCAATCATAAGTAAAAACTTTACTGTTATCTCTTTCCCCACTTTATGTTTTTGATATCAAACTTTACATATTTTTATGTTGTGTTTCCTTTAACAGATTTTTGTATTTATACTTATTTGTAATACTTTTTTCTTTTAACTTTTATGCTAGAGGTAAAATTGATTCACATACTTTTATTACAGTATTCTTTATTTGTCTATATATTTATCTTTACCAGTGAGTTTTATACTCTCATGTGCTTTTGTGTTACTGGTTAGTGTCTTTTTCTTT